GTTAGGTTAGGTTAGGTTTAGGTTAGGTTAGGTAGGTAGGTAGGTAGGTACGTAGGTAGGTAGGTAGGTAGGTAGGTAGGTAGGTAGGTAGGTAGGTAGGTAGGTAGGTAGGTAGGTAGGCAGGTAAGTAGATAATGGTAGATAGGTAGGTAGGTAGGTAGGTAGGTAGGTAGGTAGGTAGGTAGGTAGGCATGTGTGTGTACATTTAAGTGATGTTTTTTTCAGGCGCCATAGTTCAACACATTGAGCGGCCTTCTCAAGCACTTGCGCCGGATTTATCGACAACAGGTCGGGATTATCAGGCGCGAGGCGGTGGGTTTGTCAGGCACACGGAAAAGATTTTTCAGACACGTGCAACGGATTCCCTGAACTCTGAACTCTAAACCCTAAACCTGCACATGTGAATGATACTTCTCGCGCATGCTCTGGATAATGCACGCACATCTCTTTGGGAAGTCGCGCGTCTGTCTCTGTTAAGACCGGCCTTTATTCCGGAACCATGGTGCAATGAAAACTCAAGAACTTAATGATAAAGAGAGCTCCGCATGCATGTACGTATGTATGTAAGTAGGTATGTACCTAGGCATGCATGTTTTGGGCTGCCACATGGCGTGTCTCGAGGGCTTACATGGTGCATGAAGCTCTTCTTGTGTGTGTGTGTGTGTGCGTGTATATATATATATATACACACATATACACTGCCACACCTACATACATACGGCACCGTAAACTTTGACCAGAATATTTATCGTAGATTCGAAATTCAGACCAGGCGCAGGATGATGGAGATTCGGCCCTTGCCACTCTGCTGCTCCAAGGGCAGGGCGTTCAGTCCGTGCCTACAGCACAAACTACCGTTTGGGGGTTTCAGAAAACTATCGGTCCCTTTCGCGTGCTCCGAAAACTTGCCATGCAAGATCCATTTTCAGAAACTCGCATTTCCCGTTAGGAATTAAAGCCATCTGCTGTCAGGCTATTTGGGTTTACGGTTCTTAAGATTTCAACCGGCTGCAGCATTTTCGTTGTAGGATTCAAGGCTCTCGACATTACGTGACGAGATCCAGCGCGTGTCGGCCAACGGCACTACAACAGCCGCAGTGTGCTTGCCCCATAGCACGTATGGGCAAGGAGAATCCAACGTAAAGAGACAGAAGAGAATACATGTACGACAGATGCTCTCAGGCAACCGATTCCGAGTCCTCCTCTTTCGCCGAGCCGCTGCCAGCGGATGTTCACGTCTCGCCCAAAGAAGAAGAGCATACCATTGCTCCTGGGGCCATGTTTTTTTTGGGCTTGTGGCGTAATGTTTGGGGCTTGACGGTTCAGGGTGTCAGGATTTGAGATCCACCGGAGACCTCTTCTGCAGCGGTGGTCGTACGGAACCCTCTGTCGCCGCTGCTACTGCTCGTATAGAGTCTCTTGTGCAGTAGTAGTGGTGTGGTTATTGTCAAGAGATCAAGCTTCCAAGAAGAGCACAGACACTGCAAGCCCTGCTGAACTTCATAAGCTCCACCAAAGCAAGCCTGCGAACGAATATCAAGCAGTTGCAACTTTGTAACACACAAGGGGAGAAAAAAGGGCACTGCGAGGTTTCAGCGGTCGCCGTCCTCCCCCTGCAGCTTGCCCTAAACCCTCATTCTCCGAGTCAAAAGGGATCAAAATATGAAGTCCCTTAAACACCAGGTGCCCCTAAATATCAGAGATTCCTACCACCTGCTGCATCTGCGGCCCAGGTGCTGTGGAAAGTAAAGCAAATCACCACTGGCCGTATTCCGGAAAGCCAGCTCCCTGGAGGATCCGAAGGAGACGCCCACGGTGCCTCATTGGTTTCGCGCCTCTTTTTTTTGTTTAAGGGCTTAGGGGTTTAGGGGGGGGGGGGGCTTTCAGAAGGAGTGCTGGGCCAAGGATCCTCAGAAACAAGGATCCGAACTGTTTGGGTCCACCTTGGAGTACGTTTTCAATTCTGACCCCGTGGATGTTAGCGCCTTTGAATGTGTTTCTGACATTAAGAACTGCCGTACGACAAGTGTGGCGATTGTGGCGATGATTTCCATCATGCTGCAGGAGCAAGGGCTGGGAAAGGTTTCAGTGCTTGCTTCAAGAGGTTTCCATGGTTGCTTCAAGATTCTCTACGAACGGACGCAGACGTCACTCCAGTGCATGCGTCGTTGCAGAAGCTTCACAGCTGTCGGGCCCAAGCCCTAAAGCCGGAACCCGCAGACCTCCTTAAGAGACATGTCGGGGCTTGAGTAAACGCTGTCTTCCATGCTACGTCTACTGGCTATGACTATGGAAACAGCATGCTAGACCTATTAAGGGTTGATAGGGCAGAAAATGAGCATGCTGAGATGGTGACACTTGAGGTTTGCTTTCCCGATTTGAAGGCATTGTGGCAGTGGCAGACCGACTCTCTATGCACAGTATATACAGTATTGGCTGGGGTGCACCGCCGAGGCCGCAGCCAATGAAGTCATGGAGCACACTGAAAAGTTTAAGAGCCTCTTTAAATTGGGCATTATGGCTTCTCCTACCTCGGACAGCACACTACACGGTCATGCAGCCAAACGTCCCTACACTACAAATGAGCCCAATTACACCTCCCGGCAGCAAAGTCACAGTTCTGCTTTTCGGCCATTCGCGGGTTAAAGGCGGCCGCGTCGTGGTGGAAAGGTTTCCAGTCCGAACCGTCCCTGTACCAGTTGAAGCCTGGGCCACTGAGAGCTTCAGAACTATACTATGCCATGCCATGCCATGCCATGCTATACTATACTATACTATACTATACTATACTATACTATACTATACTATACTATACTATAACATAAGGTAACATAATATCAACATCTTGAATGCGCAACCTGCTGTACTTAAAGCTCCCCTCAGATGAAAGCCCGATGATCTTCACTGCTCTTTATTGCCTATGCGTGCGAGAGCCCCGTTGCGACTGCCCTAGGCCAATTGCTGCATGTGGCCCTGGAGTGGGTCCATGTAGGCGCCCGGAAACCTGTATTCGAATGATCTCGTGTAGAACAAAACGAGTTCAATCCTAAACCCTTTTTGCATCAGGACTTGTGCAATCGCCTGAATGTCCGAGCCCGCAGAAGTTCAGCTCTCACGACTGCCTAAACCCTAAACCCTAAACCCTAAACCCTCGAGTTCACATAGGCGCTCCAGGACCGTTTGGAGCCCCCCACTTCATCCTCCTACCAATCTCAAGCGATGATTGCTTGGTGGGCTTCTAACTGCCCCGCGGCCCATTCCCCCACCCTGCTTGGGAGCTGCGCCAAAGGAACAAAAAGAGCTTCAGAGCCGTCTTATTTAGCGGTCCCCCATTTTTAGGTTTCCATGAAGCATCGGAGATCTTGCGAGATTCCCCGCAGCTCGAACGGCAGCGGTTCAGTCAAGACACGCATCCCCAGAACCTCGCGACTCGCCGAGTGCCGCAAGTGGCCGTTCGCAATGCTGAAATGGTCACAGATTCTGTCCAGCACCTCGACATCTTCGTGCTGTGGGTGGACATGAAGGCGAAGGTGCTAACAATGCACCATTCGGGGATACGATGCAAGCGGGAAGCGTCGTTGAACGCCCTTGAACAGCTGGGGTTCTTGGTCAGGAGGTGGGCACCTTGCGCAGAGGCTTACTCAACATCAAAAACCGTGCGTGAACGAGCGACCGAGCAAGCTTATACAACTGCCTGGCAAAATCCTGCATGACCTCAAATACCCCAAACAAGTGGCGAGTGATGGCATGCTCCCTTTCATGGGTCATGCAGGACTGTTTCCATCCTACGTGGCACCCAGGCCTTCATGCCAGGACTCCCACTTCGTTTGATCGATGCCATTGGCCTGCCCTTCCTGAGGGTGTGTCTTCTCTACCGACAGTGACGCTCACACGGAATCCTCCAGTAAGGCAAACCAAGTCGATGATGGAGGGGCCTTCTATTTGGGAGGTGGGAGGGTGTTACATGCCGTTCTCATAAGGAGCCGCAGAAATATAGGGAGCAGGCAGAAAGAGTTCTGTCGACTGCCGTGTTTGAATGCGGCCGAGGTCGCACGGACCTCACGCAAAAGCGTGTAGTATGCATCCCAGTCGTTGGCACGGCCAAAGAACTCCGGCATGACAATCACATCATCGTGGCCTTGACTCAGCCCAGACCCAAAATAGTCCAGGAAGTTACCACTACCGTGACGAGCTTTGCTACAGTCATACCGGGTGCAGGCTATGACTGCTTCGCAAAACTGAGGTTGGTGCTGAGTCGATCCACATCTTGGCGTGTGACTCGGATGCGCATCGCCGGGCGATGTAGAGGGTCGGCAAGGTTGATCTGCAGTGGAACCTGAGCGCAGGTTGATAACAAATGGTTGTGCTGGCACGTTACGGCCTGTTGTCATTCTCTGCGACATGGCAAGCTATCACACGAACATTCTGATTTCGCCGTTTACGACCTAGTACTGCAACAAATCGTTCCATGAGTTCCATGACTCCATGCGATGCAATGTACGGTCTTTGCGCTACGCTTACGCTTGCATAGTTTCTGTTGCTGTCGTTGCACCTCAAAGCTCAACTTCAGTCCAGCGATGTGCTTGCGATGATGCCAACCGAATATAAGGTAGCCTTCTCAGTATGCTCTTGCTCTTCGTGTGCATACAGAGTCGGACAACTCCTACTCTGTCCTCTTCGAGTGTCTTGTCACCACACTCCCAGTAGCTTCGCATCCTAGCATCGAGCAGCCATGCCGCTGCAATGCTCGCGCATGTTCCAAGTCGCATGTTCACTGCATGTCAGAAAGCCGGAGTGCACTTGTACACTCGACAGTTCCGGTGCAGTCATCACGTGATTGTCTAGTTCTTGCAATCAGGTGTAAAACTCCGCTTGAAATCAGACCAATCAACCTTGCGGACAAGATGCCGGGTTCGGCGGCACTGCGGCCAGTCTCCTCCTGACATTTCCGATCACATGGGCGCCTAACAGTGACAAGCCTGTTTATTCCGCGAACAACAGCTAAATTAACCAAAACATCCCTGCCGACTCCTTGACATTCCCCAGGGCCGGCCCAGGATGATCAAGGAGACAAGGCCATTATCCCAGTTATCCCAGGTGGTGCGTTCGCAGCGCCATCCTCAACCGTGCAGAAGTCGAGTTTGCCGCGAGCAACCAGAAACTGGAATGGTAAAGTCTACATCTGAAGGCAGAGGTTTTTCACGCTTACAAAGACAACTCAGTGCTGCCCTTTGACTTTGAGCCCGAGTAGCACTATACTGTTTCGAAACTAGCTGGAAAGTAGAATTTAATTTATCCTCTGTAGAGTAGAGATGAAAGAGCCCGGTACCACGCAGCTTAGCTGAGGCTAGGACAAGGATAGTATCTACGATCTCAGATAGCGTGCCTCATTCTAAGGTGCTACGCAAATTCCCAATAGCGTGCAAGGAAGAGCTGCGCAAAGCCTGGAGGCACCTGAAGAATACACAGGCTTGACGCAGGTTTGCATCAGCCAGTGATGCAATCGTCCGGGACAAAAAATGAAAGTGCAAAGGGCACACAAAGGCTACGTGAAGCTGCGCGCAGCAAACGCTTGCACCGTCCATGAAGAAAGTCCCTTAAACGTGAACCCAACATCCCAACCCCATAGAGTCTACGTCTCGAGTAAGACCCCGGCTGGCCAACGCTGCCGCGCCCATCAGATGCAATGCACCTCGAGGACTGTGCTTGCGTGTCGATAAATAGGTGATGGCTCACTACGGAAGGCCTCTGCACCCTGAACCGCTGCAAAGGTGCGGTGAAGTAGCGATTAAGTTTCCTTCGCGCCAAAAATCTGAACACTACAACATTTTCGGTGACTACGCCTACAATCATCAACTCTTGCTGCTCATGTTCGTGTCAAGTCAATGTAAACTGATTACGGTACGTCGCCTTGTCATGGTCTTGATTCTCATTGCCGCTGCTTTCGTTTGTCATTCCTGAAACTACACCTGGGGCGCCGTTGATGCAGGGGATCGCCACATAGTCCCGCTTATTCCCTGGACGTTGCAGGCGTAGCTCACAGGAGCCGCCAAATACAGCGAACCTTGGCTTGGACTCTCACATCTCGGGCAGTCCAATGGTGTAAACTTCTGAGGATTTACTGACTGGGTAGCATCGAGAATGTATCAAGGAGGAGCCTGAGAGGAAATGTCTACACGATGCAGTCGGTTCGTCACTTTCGCACCCCCGCGAAGATCAACCTTCCTTCTTACAGGGTTCAATCGGCGACTAGGAGGCCCTGGCACCAGTCTCTTTTGCGCCAAGTATCGCCACAGCTTCGAATCTGCCGGAACCCTGCGTGGCATCGAAGTCCGGATCTTTGACTGTCCTCACTTTGACCCTACATGCAAACTACTCGAAAGGGATCGTCGCTGCCGTGAGCCATCTCTCTGTGCACCGGCGAAGGAATGGGAAACAAAGGCGCAGGTGCTGCGCTCACCGTGGTCTGTCCCACTTCAGAGGGGCTATGAACGCCATCAATCCCAGAAAGAACCCCATCCTTCCTCCCAACAAAATGGAGACTCACTTCGTGTCCCAGATTCAATGCCGGCTCTCCCGTCTGCTGATGCCAGGTGAGGCAGCTAGTGCAGCTTTCGCGGTCGAGCCGGAAGTACCTGGGACCAACTGTCCAAAACTACTTAGTGCGCCTGAAACAGGTGTAAGAACAGGGCTTTTGGGGTCTCTTGAGTTTTTCTGACGGGGATTTTATAGGCTAGATATGGCTTATTCAGGGCTTATTATAGAGCCTGTATTTGGAAGAGGGCTTGGGCCATTGGGGTTTTAAATGATAAGAAGCTTCGGGCACGATCAGGGGAGGTAGGCGCCAATTCTGCCGACGACTTCCTGTATCAGTAGGAGCCCGGGAGACAAACCGCCTTTGGGAGCTGTTGGCGGTCGTTTGGCTCTTCGATGGGCTTCGTGGTTCGGGCTGTCCTTCATAAACTCTGTCTTTCTTTCGCCGGGGCTATGGCATATGGGGCTCTTTCTTTCGCCAGGGCTGTGGTGGTGTAGGGGCTCTCTCTCTCTCTCCCTCCCTCCCTCCCTTCCTCCCTCCCTTGCTCTCTCTTTACATGTTAGTCTTTCGTCATTTCCCCTCTCTTCTGTCCTTCCTTCCTTCCCGTCCTTCCCGGCCTATCTTCCTTCCTTCCTTGCGTTTAAGAATCTTCAGGATGCGAGGCCCTCTTTCCGCGAATGCACCCCGTCACAGACTCTCGGCTTCGACTCCCAGTGCATCCTACTGCGTGACTTCTGATGGCTACCAAGCCGGGTTCTTGTGTAGGAATTTGATTTAAGCTAACACAATACACTTAAAGAAACCATATTTTGTAATGTAGATCCCAATTAATTATGGTAACTTAAACTAAACTCCACAAGAACCCAGCAGGTTGGGAGAGCTTTGACCAGAGAAGGCACTCTCGAATACGAGCCATCACTTGCTCCGACTCGCTCTTCTCCGCAGTCATCTCCTGCATCTCAACCAAGAGCTTGTCCTCGAAGTGATGAGAGGTCTTTTTTGGTTGAGGCTCCTTTTTCCCTCGCTCAAGAGCTTAGGGCCTAGGGTTCAAGGGGCAGACGGAAGCATGAAAAGACTACCCAGGCAAGGCCTTTGCCTTGCATTGCAAGGCATTCCGACGGGCGTCGTACATCTGCATGTCCGTTGCATTCCCGAAGAAGTCCGGGGCCACAACGAGATCTTCAGGGCAGATTGTACCCGAATACACGTCGCTTTCCACGCTGCAGATGCAGCGCAAGCCAGGCCTCGGCTGGCGTGTGACGATTGCGATGGCATGATGGCCAAAGAGGGGGGCAATGACAGCCACTGCTAAAGAAGCGGTACTGAGGCACATGCTGCATCATATGGGTAGTTGTCAAAATTATGGTCCCTTTTGGGGTACCCTAAATAATAGGTGCCGTGTTATAATAAGGACCCAAAAAGGTACCATAAGTTTGACAACCACCCATATGCGAGCAGAAACAAAGAAGGACAAGGGACCTTGACGGAAAATGACAAGGCTTTAGCATTTAGGATTAGGGGGACCCTTGGGGATATAGACCCTCTCAATAAGGTCCCTTTTCAGAGAGCCATGAGTAGGGTTCAGAAGGGTCCCCTGAACCCTAATACTACCTAGGACCTAGGACAGACGGGGCTGCGATGGCTACTGGCCCATCTTGACTCACAATGCTAGCGCCGCTGCTGTTGCTGCTACACTCCGACGGCGACGACGACCACCACCACCACCACCACCACCACCACCACTGCAGCAGCGGCTAGTCCCGCAACGGTGGACGCTGCTACTGGGAGGATTGCCCTTGATGTTTGCATTTGTTATGCAGAGCTGATCCTGTTCATTGCCATCAAGACTGCTGGGAAGCACTCACTGGTGACTAGTGTGACCGAGTTCAATACAGTTCGAGTTTGCTGCTGGTTCATTGTTGGAGCCACCATTTCCAGCCGCCATTGCGATCTGGTTCATCTCCGCTCTTCCTGCAAACGAGGAGCTCGACAAACGTCGATGCCGGATCCAAAGAGACCTTACTTCATAAAGCAAGCATGCCGCTGGCATCGCAAATCGTCTCGCGACCCGGTGAAGTCAAGACGCGGTGTTCATGCCCCCAGAAACTGGGATGCCCCTCGCGCCGAGCTGAGCCTTTCAGCGGCACTCTGTCTAACTTAGTCTAACACCCACATGATGTAGCAGGCGAGTCAAGCATAACGGGCTCCATGCAGAATAACCATGCAATAGCAACCAACGAATTCGAACTAGCGCCACGAGTACCATCACGCTTACCCTCTGCCTTGCCAATTGCAGCACCCGGCAGATCACGCGGGTCATCCTCGATCTGCTGGAAGCGGAGGTCATCGTCTACACCTGTCTGTGATGCAGAGAGATGTCCGGTCATGGCATGCACCAGGCTCCTTCCGGACAAATTCCTTTCGTTCGGGTCCGAAGATACTCCGACAACGACGCTGACTACCACTACTTCCCTAGGATTCCCGTTGGTACAGGAATCCCGCCTGGCCGTCGGTGCACCCCCTTGGTTTCCTTGATCGCCAAGGGCCTGCTGAGCGACCTCCGACGTGAGACCGACAGACAACACCATGCACAGCAGCAGCAGGGTAACAAATAGAATAGTGACTTGTTTGGGCGTTTGCTCTTGTGCTAGGCGTTCTTGTCACGCTATCAATATGATAAGTCATAGCCGTATTTCTGCCAGTGGCATCGGCACTTCATCATTGCCGGAAGCTGTTATGCTTCATGGTGCCATCATTCAACTACCTTGAGCTGCCCTGGTGGTGAACTAAATGGTATGCTCTTGAAAAATAGCCACGAGTTCTGAGTGCAGCGGTCCAGAGCTGCAACCCGATGATCTGGGCAGCCCCTCGCCTCATTCAGTGATGGCATCTGCACATTCATTCAGGTGCTTCGTCAAAAACCGAAATGTCACTTCAAGGAAGATGCACTTCCACATGTGCAACCCCGTTCTGGCTTTTTTGAGGATCTCTTCAGACTCTTCAGGGGCTGCATCGGGGACTTACGGATGTGTTCCCAAGCATGGCGGTTCTCGCCCGTCTTAACATGTGGTGCTTCGGTTTTGTTTGAAGACAACCAAGCTTCGTATTTGTACCTTTTCAGGCCTCGCATGACCTCGTGTTGCCAGACACCCCGCCAGCCACATGGTTTACTAGGCATCACTTCGACTCACAGTTAGTCTTAAACCTTCAAGATCTTCAAGTGCCCAACACAGTCATCCACACCTTAGGACGACAGCTTGAAACCGAGCTCCCACCTTCGTGCCCAGCGCCTCCACAACCAGCGCCAAAGCTCGGCAGCAAGAATCCCCAGCAGCAGCGGGGCCAGCCGCAGGCTGACAGCACGACGGCAGTCTTTCTTTCTTTCGCCAGGGCTGTGGTGGTGGGGATTTACCCCTCCACCGCGCGCAGGTGTCTCTGACTCTCTCTGTCTCTCTCCGCACATTGCTCGCGGGATGGTCTGATCCTTTCCACTTTTCGGTTTGCCTGTTCCTACTACGGCTGCCAAGACCAGCATGAAGACGACGACGACGACGACGACGACTACAACTGCGACGACTACTACTACTACTACTACTACTACTACTACTACTACTACTACTACCACTACTACCACTACTACCACTACTACCACCACCACTTCTACTACGACGACGACGACGACGACGACTACTACTGAAAAAAATTATTGCTATGACTCGTCTGTTGCCACTCCGCTTATGCCGGGCTGTCACACACTGGGTCTACGCATCGATGCTAAATACTTAGCCATTATTCCCCACATGCTCCTTTCCAACTGCACTATCAGAACGGCTGCTGCTGGTGCTACTGCTACACTGCAACAACGGACTAATCGACGACGACTACACCGGCGAGAAGAAAGCCATAACGATTGCCTGTCCAGCATGGAACCCAGAGAAACATGCTAGCTGCCACCGCGGTGAATTACTCTTTGCTTGCCGCAGGTTGCCGATACCAAGTGCAGCAACCAGCTACTGACACACTCCATGTGCCTGCGGCGTGCCAGAACGGCGAGAGTGGCTGACGTTGCCATGGCAAGGCAACAAAGACGTTTGGGCCTGGGATCTAGACTTCAACTGTTTGGGGCTGGGTGCAACCCAGCCGGCTCACGCGTTGAAGCTGGGCAAAGCTTCTTGAAGATGCGGGGCTTTGGTATTGCTTGCTCCGCCTATCTTCTTGCCTCTCTCCCCCTTCTCTGTTTGTCTCGTCCCAAAGACTCCAGTAACATTTTGTCTTTAACGTGTTGCTTGGTATATCGCCGTTACCTAAACAATCGACCCGTATCTTGCGGAAATCGCAGACGCATCGGGAGGGATCGTCATCAACCCACTTCGCTGAAGCTACCCTTTTGCAGGCTTGCATGTACGGAACCATGCATGCGCATGAGCTCCACGTGGCTCTTGCGGACTGTGCTCCTGTTCTCCTCCTGACTTGAGCCTCGCCGGCGATGAGGCATATCCCCTAAAAACTAAAAGCTGAACAGCTTCAAGCTGGACGTTCTCCCTGATGAATTCAAAGGGAAACGAATCCGAGCCCGCCGCGCCCAAGGGGACTGCAGGTAGAAAGCACATCGGCCACAAGGACGCCGTCCTTGCTCCCATGATGGTCAGGCGTTATCGATGTCTTTGGTGATCGTGAGAAAAGGAAGAAAAAGCATAGTGATTCTGAAGACGACGGTGGGGACTACGTTGATATATAACTTGATAACAGCGTCCATAGTATGGGCATCGATACACAGGGCACTGTAGGTGAGAGCACTCAGGTTTCCAAGACATGAAACTAGCAGAATCAGCCAGCGGGAACCCGCTTTTAAATCTTGCCCGCGATCTGCAAATTCCACGTAAGAACGAACCACTGAACCCTACCCCCCACGATCAACATCGGTGAACCGTTTCCACTTCAATGGCATGACAAGACCATGGCCTTGGAGATTGCCGCAGAGCCGGCCTTCGACGGTGCAGTGCAAAAGACCACACTGCCGCGACTCCTACAGCCTGCTAAGCCGCTAAGCATCACGACGTGGAGCGCAGCCAACATGCGAATACCAAGTGCTCATGTGGGCGGTTGTCAAAATTATGGTGCCTTGTGGGGTACCCTAAATAATAGGTGCCGTATTATAATGAGGACCCAAAAGGGGACCATCATTTTGACAACTACCCACGTGTGCTGCTGCCTGCACCAAGGACTCGCAGGCAGCAGCCTGAATGAAACTCTGGAGGGGCACAGCGCTCTCCGAGTTCCAAGCCGTCCCCGAGACATGTTGACATGTGGGAAGTTCTCTAAATTAGGGTCCCTTTTAGGGTCCTTTTGATAAGGGGGCCGTACTATATTTGGGACCTAACATGGGACCTTAATTTAGAGAACTACCCATGTGCGTCAGGGACTTCGGAGGCGAACGCTTGAGGGCTCGGTGCTCACACTCGGGTCCGAAGACGGAGTGAAACACCATAGCAGCTGTTTAGGATTCAGGGTTTCGGCTCTCACACTCGTACAGGGTTTAGGGTTTAGGCTTCAGTTGCAACCCGTAGCACAACATACACGCACTAACGACACCCCCGACAAATAGACTGATCAGAAGGGAAGTGATTCAAGTGATATACAAGTACGGTCACCCCCTTTGCGCTTCATTAGGGTAGAGGTCGCAAGGAGGACAGAGCAGAACGAAATCAAGGCCCTTCAGAAGAATTTCAAGACTCTATGACGACCCTCACTAAGTCCGCAGCCCAGCCGTTTCCTGACCGCGTGGTCGACTAAATCGGGGTTGCCCTTCGAGGGTCCGTGCGCCAACTACAGGGAAATACGCAACCATCACCATCCCGCGATCTTGTGACGCACCAGAATCTAGAAGATGAAACACGGTCTGCCTGATTTATGGGCATCAAGACTTTTCTTGAAGCAGGGCGCCCCATCTACGCCTCCCCCCGCCAAACATGAGCTCCTATCAGGACAAGAAGGCCGATGAGGAAAGCAATTACACGAATACCTATTCGGGAATCACATTACAGTCAACGCATATGCCGTGATGTTTAAGCATACTGCGGAAAAGACGGTGCACCCCACCTAAGAGCATGGGCACCGCTATCCACAAGAAATGACATTTAACCTCACAAGTAGGCGCCTGGAAAAATTTCGGGGCCCTTGTAAATGGTGGCATAAGACTCCTCATTATGCTGCACAACCCAGCCGACGGAAGTTGCCAGCAACAGCAACGCTGCATCTTGCAGTCTTGGAACCAAAAAGCCAGGAGCCACTCTGACGGGTATTGACTGCCTGCCGCCTGTGGGTACGATCGTGCAAGCGATGAGTCGTGTCTGACTAACTTAATTGGACGAACCGATTCATGGTTTACTTACGGTTCGGGTTCCTCTGGCGCTCCAATGCATTCAGTTTTGAAGGTAGGGACTTGGGAAAATGGGCTCGGCATGCCGCAAAGCGCACGTACTGAGATTCTATGCAATGCGGTGCAGAAACTTCGTAACTTCGCCCAACTTCGCAACTCAGGGATTGGAAACCTCTGAATTTTTGCTCACCTGAGGCGAGCAAAAATGCCTGACTCCTGCATCCAAAAACCCAGCGCCATGCGAAACACCCTTCGCGGCTTTTCACACAATGGCTGCGGGATCTGGGCGGTACCGAGCGTTCTGGACTGAGAAAGATCATTCGCTGACCCCACTTGGTCATTCATACTCACTCCAGAGAGCTTCACAAACAGTTCGAAGAGTTGCACCTGGCTCTTTCATGGCCCGGTCCACTTCCTCCAGTATTTCTTCCAAGGGCACGCCTTGCTCACCCGGTTCACGTGATCCACGGGTAACTTCAGGCATAGGGTTGTAGCCTGTTCTCAGCGCTTCAACGAAACAAAGCACATCGAAGAACTCTGGCGTTTGAATCCACTGCTCGTCGAGTGTGTCGTGGACAATCCTCTTTGAAAGCTGGTTGAAGGTAGCCAAAAGGTTTCTATCATTCTGGATCAAGTCCGAGCAGCCATCTTTGCAGATGGCAGCCTGCACCATATGACGGTGCTCGCGTGCAATAACAGTGAAGGAGCTGAGCCACATAGCGGGCTGAACTGCGACCTGCACACGTCCAGGATCGTTGCTAAGGTTGTAGTACTTCGTGCTGTCAAGCTCCTCCAAGCTTTCTGCTATAACTTGTCGCAATACGGCGACATTGCTCCCTGAGTCGACGCTGATCTCCAACCTTCATCGGACAGCGAGTAACAGTATAGAAACGCAACATGTGGTACTAGCTCTGGTGAAACCCTGTCTGCAACACCGGAGGAGCTCAATTGCTCAAAGAAACTGACAGCTACTCCTGAAAGCTGGCATTCTTGGACACTTGGCCTTGTCGACTCTTCGCCGCTGCCCACCACGACTGTGTAACGATCTTGTCCTGAACAGTTTGAACAATCCCGTACGTCCCGTGGAAGCATGTCTGTCTTCGGGACATTTATGGAAGCTGCAGGCTTGGACGAAGCCAGAACTTCTAGCTGCTACAGCACAGGGGCAGCGATCGACCCCTAACGCAGGCAGCACGCACGTCATTCTTGCGGACTGCAGGGTGCAGTCCATTGGGGGCAAGCATGCCAACCCCCAAGAAGCGGCTCCCCCGGCTTTACAACTTTAATTTCTGTTGTGCTTGAACTCGCACCATCGGAAATGCACTTAGCAAGCGCTTGCCCATTCAGTGCGCTCGGGTTCTTAACCTGCGGGTCTACACCAGCAAGGATACAGGTTACGAATTCGCTGGAAACAAAAGAGGGCCCTCGTCTCCGTCTCTTTAGAGAGCCCGTTTCGGAATGCAGGTCCGGTTCTATCAACTGAGCCCTACATCTTCGCCCGACCCTTCGACGCCTGTAGCTTCCTCTCGACAGCGCTGCTGTCGCTCTGCGCGGCCCGCCATGTGATTAGCCAAGCTGCTGTCTTGCAGCAGTCTTGCACGCTTCGAGAATCGCTCCACAGGGACAATAGCTGCGGAGATTGAAAGTGGGGTAGATTAGAAACGAGGCTCAGCAGGGAGATTCGGATTTGGAGACAGCGGGCTAGCGGCCACCTGGAAGCCGATGGCTTGCACGGATCTGAACTGCTGCTCGTAAGCTTCAGCATCATGCCGATGACACGCGGTTTTTGCCAGGATCCAGAACAAAAGCAGATGCAAACCCCTGTCAAACTGTCAAACCAATTTACGCTCTTACAACTCGGACAAGCCAGGCGAGGTTCCATGGTCGCAGGTCGGCGTGATACGATTCAGGGGCTTCCTTTGTCAAACCACTTCGAGTTATAGAGACAAAAACTCTTCAAGGAAGCTGTAGTGGTGGTGGTAGTAGTAGTAGTAGAAGTAGCAGTAGTACTCGTACTAGTAGTCGTAGAAGTAGTAGCAGCAGCAGCGTCTCTCCAGCAAGTACGGTCGAAGCAGGCGACTAAAACCGGGGCTGCGCAGGTTGACACCGTGATGCAGGCTTCAAGATGACGTTGGTCATGTGGGAAGTTCTCTAAATTAGGGTCCCTTTTGGGGTCCTTTTTATAAGGGTGCCGTACTATATTGGGGACCCAAAAAAAGGGACCCTAATTTAGAGAACTGCCCATGTACGGACTGAGGACGGAGGAGGTGCAAAACGGCTGCACTGGGAAACTGAGTTTGGATCCGCGGCTGTGTAAAGTAGCGCGAAGGTTCGCACGGCACTCAAACCGCTGTAGGTCAAAGGACGCATTCAGGTGTTAGCCCGTGCTTGAATCTGGCGCCTATTACAACAAAACAGCTGCTGGTCCTTCGCGAAGACCTTTCACAAGGGCCGACATGCTGAAGGCCTCTGGATGAGGTGTGGGCTTGAGGGTGAACGCTCCACCACAAGTCACTGCTCAGGATATCAAAGATGGTGCATGCCTTTCCTGGCAGTACCAGAACTACAGCTACAGGTCTGGATGAAAATGACAGACAGGCGCAAGCCTTACGATTTGCGACGTCCTTGATTTGTGCTCGTGTGCTCGACCCTCTTCTTTGGACTGGAATGTTTTCAAACCTTCCCGAAACCCTGCTACTCTTTACCAACAAGCCCACAATTCTGGGTTGAACCCAGAGTCTGAGGCACCTCCAGAAAGAACGATCTTTTCGGGAGCTCGAGATTTAGACCCATCGCAACTGCTTGAGACACTTAGGATCGCACATCTCTGCGCAATCGGTCGTTCGATGCCTGCTCCAACAGCACGGCCTCGGATGTGCCACTCTGGGTAGGGTCGTGCAATCAGAGCTGCCTCTCTTGGCATTTTTGAATACGAGGGCCGAAATAGTTAGAATGGCGTTTTTGTGACGGGTTAAGTATTTTCTGAGGACTATATAATAAAGGGAAAGTTCCTGCTACTTACTCAGGCCGTTCTATCATGTTAATAAAACGAGGCCCACACCGCTTTCCTCCAACTGCGGGCGCACCTCAGGACGAGGAAGTCTGGACAAACAACGCGATGCCCTGATGCGATGGCTGCCGGGCATCCAATTCCACAACGGCTCTCAGCATGCCCAGTCTCACGACCCATATGGGGGCTTCCGAAAATAGGGGACCCTAAAAAAGTACCCTAAATAGTAGGATCCTTATTATACGGATCCCCAAATAAGCTACCCTAATTTTCGGAAGCTCCCATATATCTCCCTTCAGAGAAAGGCCACCCCTCACCCTTATGCAAAGAAACTCAGCAGCTCGAGGCACCGGGGAGGATTCTACGCTCGTAGATGAGACTCAACTTTGCAGCGGAATGGGGTCTGAATAGTTAGAACAAGGACGTAGGGAGAACTGAACGACTGGCAAAGACATTCCAACTCAATCCCTAACCCTAACCCCTAAAGCTAAACTCAAAGGCTCCAAGTTACGGCCCGTTGGTGAGATGCGTAGAGTCTGCTGGGCCACCGGCCCACCAACGCATGCATTGCTTGCCTGGCGAGAAGGGCATAGAGCAAGGGCAGCAAAAGTTCAGAGCAGTCCGGTGAATCAAGTGTCTGATGGTTCCGGGAATTTCGGAATTCGATTTCTATGCTGGCTCGGCAAGGGCGGCAGGCGGGGCCGGAATTCATTCTCAATTTTCAACTCTTAATGTAACATCCAGCACATGCTTGACACTGGAGGTAGGGCTTATCATCGAGACTACCGGCACCTCCACGGGCTCATACCAAACGTCACCGGCAAAGCTCGCACAGGCTGACCACGGCATCCAGCAGCAAGCCGTTTCGACCTCACGCAAAAAATTATACATTACTCGTTACGTATGTATATATATATATGTATATATATATATATATCACATATATACCCTGTGCGGAGGAACTACATGTAAGAATCTGGAGAAGGCGTCCTTCCTTGTGGACAAACCCTGAAGAGCGGAAGACGACAGGATGATATTTTGGTTGTACCAGTCACTGTTAATTACTAGTTGCGACATCTGGGAAGAAGACGAGCCTCAGCCATGCTTGCATCGGGCAGGCATTTGGCAGAACAAGCCTACGCAGATCAAGCCCTGCCTTGCGGAAACATGTGCCGCGGACAGTGGCTCTTGCAAGGCTCCCGACGCAAGATCTCAAGCTCGGCCAAGACGTTTGTCCACAGGCCCTGACGCCTGAGAAGAGGCTCCGTGAGCAGTCCGGGTTTGCATGGTAGTTCAGCTGTGGCGACACATGCTTTCGCACGTGTTCGGAGAAGAAGGAAGCGGACAACACGAGGGAAAAGACACGTCAGCCCCCCTCAACCCAAAAAGCCTGCATCCTAAACTCTGGAGCTTGATGCCCCTTCCCTCGGCTCGGGCCGTGGCCCGTGACGTGCAATCGATCGCGTCGCCTGCTTGATGCTCACCTGCCCATGCTGGGGCGGGCAGGATGCAGCACACGATAGTGTAGGGGCCTTAAAAATTTGACTGCGGTTTTGGGGTATATTATACTATAAGTATATCAAGGAACTCCCACAATAGTGTAGGATGAGCACAATGACAACAACAGTTCAAAAAACGCAAACATAGCCGCAGAAGCTGTAGAGCTGGTGGCATAAGGGAAAACCCCCCATTGATAGGGTCTCTACGACTTCACAAACCCATCCACGTTGTTGAGGAGCCCGAGACATAATGACGGTAATTCTCCAGGTCCACTACTACCTCATGGAGCTTCGTTGTCTAGCAGCCACCTAGCACTTCAATAATGAAACTCGTCAAGGAACCTCTCTACATAAAACTGCTCCAAAGCCAAGCACCTTCTGTCTCACCTAGGCTGAACAACGCTTCTCCAGAAGCCACCTTTTGTGGCGGTGCTGGCTCTGACAGCCATGCAGCATGACACATGACACAGCTTGGAGAGGCTGTGCAGCTGCCAGGGATGTTGTCAACATTATGGATGGTGGGCTGGCTGTCGCCCGCTCGCTCCCTGCACTACGGCTTTTGGTGAGCTAGGGCGATGGAGGAGAGAGAGACCGGATCGACGAAGAGGTGTTGGCCTATTGTCTGAGGGTCGGGGCGTAGACTTCCCTGAAAACATTGATTGTGTCTGTTTCCAAAGCTGTGGCTTGAGTTCAGCGAGCAGGAAAGGCTGCTGCACCAGGATGTATCTAGAATCCAGCGCTCTTCCCAGCACAGGCAAAGCGAATCACCCCTCTCACACGATTGCACATCCGCAAGCACGGACTTCACCACACATCCAATCAGCACGCCGTGTGCGTTTTGTTGCCGTGGCTCTTGCGAAGACATGTGTCTTCGACACAGAACTCCCGGCTCCCAGAAACGGGGAACGGCTGGCTTTTCAAGCAGCAAGCTCCACTCTCCCCGGGCTCTACGCTTGAGGCCTTGGACGTTGGACTTTGGGGTTCTGGGACTTTGCAGGGGGAGAGCAGAGCACTGGGAACAGAAACGCCTGCAACAAATTCGGGATCCTGAGCCAGAATCTCGATGCTCAGCAGAATTCCGTGCAATCAGCCGCGGATCTGAACTACGAACCTGTCAAGCAATACAAGACCTGTCTGAGTCTTCCATGCTCAGTACTGTACCTGAAGAAGTTGTAGGACTGGAGATGGGCGGACGACTCCGGTACGTCGATTGTCGATGCAGCGACAAAACCCTAGGACCAACTGTGATCAGCTGCCCAATGCTTAACCTCTTGTCCCATGCTGAACTTCGTATCACCGTATGGAGGCTTCTTAGTCTTGGTCCACTTCATGAAGTTTCACTGGAGCGGCTTGCCTCCCAGTTGGTCCGACAGAGATGTAAAAAACAAATTGCTCACCTAATGTTATCGTTTGCTCGGGCACCCTTTGCAGGAGCTCATCCCGAAGACCGGTGTCCTAGGCCGTCTCCTCGACGGTGGGATGTAGCCTGCTTGTGCTTCCGCTACATTGCCAGGCAAGGTTACAAAGCTCTACCGAGATGTGTCATGAATATGTCTATCTATCCATACATGCATACATGCATACATATCATACACCCATGGCCAAACAAGTGGCATGCGCACTGGTTCCCAGCAAAGTGCATCATCACAGCCACAATGCCGATAAAGCAGACTGCTTCAAAAATGTCACGTTCGAAGCCCCGAATCATTCCCAGCCTCGTGCAGGGCAACTGCGCTGGTGGGCGACCAAGCTCGCCCGCAGGCATGCAAGGCCGCAGTACTGGGCCTTGCAGTCCTAGCAAAGCGAATCTCGTCGACGGCTGAGGATGGAGAGATTTCCACAATTTCAACGCCGAAACCTGCATCTCTGCCCTGTGCGAATCATTCCAGGAGGCTTCCACCCCGATAAGCGGAGTTCCGACCTTCCGAAACCCGGCGACGACAGCCGAGAACTTCACCCACTGCGGCTCCCTGAACCAAGAACCCTACATCCATGAAAACAGTCTTAGCCCGTGTCCACAACCAACAGGGCAGAAGACTTCGACGATTTACTCTGGCACACCCCCAAACCCCGCTCTATCTGTTCTCACCTAGCTTCAGCAGGCTCTTCCCTGTTCGTGAAACCGTAGAGAAAGACCTCAACCCGACACCCCTCCAAATCCCCATCAGGAAAAATATGGAAAAATGTAGACGCGCTGGAACGCCCCGCGTTTGAACCCGTGCTCACGCCAAGATCATGTGACGGGAGGCGAGACGCTGAGGAGAATGCCAAAGACTACTGTAAAAGCTTGATGAAAAGAGCGGTTTGGTCTAGGGTTTAGGGCTCGGGGACTAACCCGAAATCCTATACAACCCTGCAAAACCCCCCACGGACAGCTCTGGCCCTGGCCTTGCAAGCGGCCACTAGGAACTGCCGGGAGCCGCAACCTGCGCTAGGGTTTAGGGTTTAGGGTAGGGTACAAGGGTTTCGACTCTCACACGCGCACAAGGCCGGCAAGGCTCCGCATAGTTCTGGGTACAAGGGTTTAGGGTATAGGGTTTTGGGTATTGCAAGTGCAGTTGTCGGTATTGTGCTTTCCAGCATGAGCAATTACCATGAGTTTTAAATGAGTACGGTTCATGCTTCCAGATGGGATATCGTGCGGAAAGTGCATACCTTTATACAGGACTCACACAGCATCATGTCGAGAGTTAGATAAACCTTCTTTAAGGCCTTAAGGTTCATGTAGGGTTTTAGGATGTGTTTAAATATGGCGACCTACAGCGATTGAGGGGCATTGTCCATGTCCAGAAAAGATTCATGAGGAATATACCTAGTTGGAGTGGTTTCGGATAATTTAAGTCATCAAGAGCTGTCCATCCACCATTGTCGGTCATGTTCGTTTCTTTGAGGGTCTGGGTTTTCAGGGTTACAACTTACACGTTCGTTGTTAAGGCTCGTTTCTTTTGGTCTCGATGCACGCGCGACGCCACATGTGCCGAGCCAGTGTTCCGGCCCCCATGCACCCATGAACAAGACCATACTTCTGAGTTGGCGTCCAGATCTAGAGCTTCACGGTTTGGAAGTTTGAGGTTCGGAGGTTTGGGAGTTCAGGGCCCAAGGGTTTGATCGGCACATCTGGGCTCGACCATTCGTTCTGGAGCTTCTGTGTTGCGGGCGTGGCCCCTGCGCCCACATCGCTTGCCCTATCTTTGGTCCAACCAATGAGGCTTACATTGATGTGCGTTCACGTGCGCACCAAGGGGCTGATCTTGCTTTTCTGCAGCCGGGTCTCTCGTCACCAAGTACACTGCAAGCAAGATGACCAACCAGCATCAAGCAACCACCCGCAGCTCAGATACTCTTGCTGAAACACCAAAACTCTCAACCGCCCATACCCTAAACCTTGGCCTGGTGCACCAGCCGTGTGTCATGGTCCGTATATTTGGAGGGCACGGGGAGGCACGTGTGCACGCACGTGCAATCAGACGTGAATGCATGCATGCGTACAGACTCGCTTCAATACCTACCTACCTACCTACCTACCTACCTACCTACCTGCCTACCTACCTGCCTACCTACCTGCCTGCCTACCTACCTACCTACCTGCCTGCCCTACCTAC